TCTCTAGCCCAGCATGCCAAGAGCTTTCCACATACACAGACACAGTCCTCAGATAATCCTGAGGCCGGAGCCTGCATCATTCTGCCCCTTCAACACAGACCCTGAGTCTTCACAATTTCCTTCTTTTTTCTTTTGTTCTAAAAGTAAAGCTTGGGGCTGGGAAGGTGGCTCAGTGGTAGAGCGCTTGCCTTGCATTGCCTGAGGCCCTGGGTTCGATTCCTTAGCAGCACATAAGCAAAAAGCAAAAAGCCGGAAGTGGTGCTGTGGCTCAAGTGGTAGAGTGCTAGCCTTGAGCTGAAGAGCTGAGGGACAGCGCCCAGACCCAGAGTTCAGACCAGACCCCCCCCCAAAAAAAACAAGAAAGTAAAGCTTTTCACAGGGTCATCATAGAAGCTTGCATTGCTTTCATAAAATCAAATATAGCAGCACAAGCACAAACAGAATAATAATAATTCCCATACACTAGCAGTATGTGAAATGCTTTGTAGTGTTCCTTTCGGATCCAACCCTTCCAACTGTTGAATGAATGCATCAGCAATATTAGAAGCATCATCATTTGCAAACTGTTTACCAAAAATATCATGTACATTAAATTGTAACTGAGCAATCAATTGAGCAGCAGTAGAATTTCCAAATAAATACTGCTGTATTACATTTCAATCATGTATAGATTCATTATATTTTACCTTAGTAATGCAAAAGGTAGTCGAATTCCAATCACATTTCAATAATAACTGTTTTTCCACAACCAATAACTTTTTTCCTAACCATCCCACCGTCTGTTTAAGAGCATTAATCTTTGTCTGTAACCGAGCATCAATTTCTACCTGTGAGACCCACAATTCATGTGAATCCCGGTGCCAATATTTTAGTTTGTAAGGAAGTGTGTAGGGCAGTTTCAGACACCAGCAGCAACAGTGGTAATAGCAATTAAGCTTAAAATCACAGCTACAATGGCTCCAATCATACGCTTTGTACGTTTTAGCAGTTTGGTAAAAAAAAAAATTAATAACAACACTATCCAGGGGATTTGGGGACCATTCTCTTCCTAATTTAACAGGCAGCCAAATATGAGTTCTTTGTTGTAAAATCATAATATTATCACTGTCATTAAAATCAAGAGAGGAATTAACGCAAGAATACAGGTGACAATTAAAACAAGAAATAGTAGGAGAAAATGTAAAATTTCCTACTAAAAATACAAAAGGCAGAGGTACACAAGCAGTTACATCATACGATTTGTACAAAGTAAAATTATAAGTGGACACAGAGTTTGCTGTGCCCGAAAACGATCCATTTGATAGCATCACGGGTTTCAGCGCTGCTGTGACCTTCCAAAGATGAGTCTGAACAGCAGTGGGTGCAGCCATGAAAGCCCATCGAGCATCTGCAATGCCTCCATCTCCCCAGGCCATCAGTGGAGCTCCAGCAAGTGATCCATTAATGGCTTCCGGCATCCTAGTAACATTAGATAAATCACATCTGGTAATATTCCATTCTGAACATGTGTTAATAAACTGTCCAAAAGGTCCCCAATTAATGAAACTATTGAACATTTTTCCAAATGTTCCTCTACACTCTTGCCACACAAAAGGCTGATATTTTAAATCAATATAAGTAAAATTAGGGCACGTAGGTAAGGATAACTTGCCATCAAAGGTGACGCTTTCCCAGCTGCTATTAATGGACCAAGTAGTTAATCACTGCAGCTGTGTTCTAGAAGTGGAAGTGCCTTTCCCAGGTAAATCAATTCATAACTAAACACAGAGGAGGCCCCAGACAAACAGGCAAGGAATGAGTGTAGTAAGTAAAATTTAAAAAGC